ATGAAAGAATAATTGCATTTTACTTTCATCTCACCTGATGGAATGTGGCGATGAGGTCGACGATGGAGTACGCACAACTAAATAATGCCTATTACCTTAAACTTTGAAAAGGCTCTAGTTGTCGCGCAGGGAATATGTCTGTAGGGAGGAAATTTCACTATATAGCCGTTCGCTATATAATATGTGGAAGCAGAACGCTTCGTGCGCATCCTTGGTAGCCACTGCTGTCATTTTATTATGTTTTGCACTTCTATAAACTGCCTCTGTGGCCGAACGGTTATCATGCTGTACTGCCACTAAAGGTCTTGGGTTCGATTCCCAGGACGGGAGAAATATTTGTATGGCCTACATTTATGAGTTTGGGTGTAATTTGTGATTGTCTACCTATGTGTGTGACCATGGCACCCGCGATACAGGGTTTCCTTGCGGTGCCAAAAGTGTGTGCGTTATTATTATAAACCGTTATATCTTTCTAACTTTAACTTTGTTATTGGCTAGCATACCTACATATTTAACTGAAGATTATATGTTATAAATTGGAGGTTCCTAATAAACTTGCTATGTGCATGACTGAATTGAAAAGGAAAGCAAAATAAAATTACGACCGATGAGATGGTGTTCCGAACCAAGTATGAAACAAGTTTGTTTTTCCACTTATTTTTTATTTTTGTTAAAGAGTAATGGAATCTGACATTCCGTAATGATCCAAAATGAAAGAATTAAAACAGAATAATAATAAATATTATATTATTTTATTTTATTTATTTAGGACAACCAACAAGTCATACACTTAATATATTCTAAGTCTATGACTTGTTGGTTGTCTTTTCAGAGTTAATATTGACTCTATGTGTATTACTTTCTTGAAGTGTAAATAAAAACATTGTGCTATTCCGATGCCTTCTAATTATTATATAGTAGTTTTGTTGTTGAAATAAAATTCTCGCAAAATCCAAATTACTGATAAAAGCAAGTTTTATCCTCCTAAGACCTAGCAAACTACAATGGGAAAAGCGCTAAACGCCCAATGGGCATTAAAATGCACTTTATACAATACATACAAGTTCCAGGCAATAGTTTTGAATGAAAAACGCATTTTTCTAGATACACTGTGGTCATATAGAGTGATAAGAGCTAAATTTGAATACGATATTTTTGTTATAATGTACACTGGGCATTTACGTGATTATAGGACTAATATTTCCGTTCTCGGAACTAATTATCTAATTTTCGTGGCAGTTTTTATTAAGTATTCGTTTTTTATTGTCCAATGTTATTTAATATTCGAGTATTGTATCGTGAAATATTATTTAATAATTACAGGATAATAATATAATTGAATATTTAAATAATACAAATTGCCACGGAAATTAGTTAGTGAACACTAGTCCGAGAATGATCGATTTGTGATCTGGGTCTATACTACTTCACATATTATGTAAATATAAAATTTGTGGCACGGATACACGGTAATAGATACTGTTATTTTATTTTCATAAATTATATTAAACACAATCTTTAAACGTATGCCTTCAGGGTGACACAGTAAAGAAACTAATGATGGTCCCATAACTGATTGTTAATTGTGTTCTACGTTATGTAGTTCGCGGTCGTGGTTCTCAACGCCGCTGCCCTTCTTCACGCCCCAGCTGGCCCATTTACTCCTTGAAATCACTGGATTCCATTTCAAGTAAGTTCACGTCTACGATCATAATTTGCAGTCATGTATCATACAATTTCATACCAGCTTCAACCGTTATCAACAGTTTCATTTTTTATGTGCGCTTGGTGGTAAGCAACACGCCTGTCCATAACAGTTGCAGTGCCATCCAGTGCTTTCGATCACAGATCTGACATTAGTTGACAAGTCCCATGTGCCTGTAATTTCACCAGCATTTCGAAACCGAAAGGCCGTAATGGTCACATTACTGTTCGGCGGCAGAAATAGGCAAGGTGGCAGTGCTTTCTTGGACGAAGCTTTTCACAAGGAGCTTTACCGCTACTAAAATATTCTCTATAAATAGACCTCTTATTTAAGTTTTCTTTCAGCTTTGGAACTGATAACGTGTTTGAGAAGAAGAAGATCAGAGCTCTGGAAGAGACGCCAATTAAATACCATACTCCAACTTTGATACGTTATCTTACACTCCAGCAACATGAATCTATTCCTTGTTCAAAGATTGTTCTACTCTGAATCTCAACAAGATATCTAGCATCATACATAACTGTAGGAACAACAAAATAAAGAATTCATAATTGTGTACAAAAATGTAAATGTGAGTTGAAAATGCTGCAGCATGTTACTGAAACAAAAAATTACCATTGAAAATTTTACATGCATCTTGAAAATAAAAAAAAAACTATTAGAAACACAATTCGACAAGTAAACACAGCCAAAAAATAAGTTTTACTGTGCGAAATAGTGACACAGTAAATCTGAGCTGAAAGATTCTATAGTTATAGGCATTATTAAGAAAAAAATATTATTTTTAACTTAGCTATGGCGAATCAAGTAAGTTGTTCAAACAAGCCAGCGAAACCAACAAAAGGCAAATCAACCAATAACGTGAAAAGCAAAGCAAATGGAACAAAAAAAAAAGACCCAGGGTGTGCTAACAAAGTTCAGGCTAAATGTCCTTGTTGCAAGGCTTGCCCAAAAAACAAACCAGACGAAGGAAATAAGCCGCGTAAGAAGTCAAACAAAAGTAAGAAAAAGAAATGTTGTAAGTGTCCAAGTGTTGTGAGACCAAGTTGTCGTTGTTCAAAGGTTAACGCCAAAAAGCCTCGTAAGAAATGCCAATGTTCTAATGCACCAAAGAAAGAAAAGAGTATTCGAAAAACGGCTGAGACAAAAAGTGTCTGTGTTTGTTCTGGTAATAAAACGAAAAAGGAACAATCAAAGTCGAAATCAAAAGTGAGAAAGTGCACGTGCAAATGTAAAAGCTGCACTACTAAAGCTGTAACCGAACAATCCAAACCTACAAAAACTGTTAAAGGAAAGTCCAAGTCTACTAACACTGATAACAAACTATTCAAGCCTACTAAAACCGTTACAGAACAATCCAAACAAGCTACAAGCGCTGTTGAAGAAAAGTCCAGTCCTACTAGCGCTGATAACAAACAATCCAAGCCTGCAAGCGCTGTTAAAGAAAAGTCCAAGCCTACTAGCACTGATAAAGAACAATCCAAGCGTACCGGTGTTGATAAAGAACAACCCAAGCCTACTAGCGCTGATACGGAACAGTCCAAGCGTACCAGTGTTGATAAAGAACAATCCAAGCGTACCAATGTTGATAAAGAACAATCCAAGCGTACCAACGTTGACAAAGAACAATCCAAGCTTACTAGCGCTGTTAAAGAACATTCCAAGCATACTAGCGCTGTTAAAGAAGAATCCAAGCGTACTAGCGTTGATAAAGAACAATCCAAGCTTACTATCGCTGCTAAAGAACAGTCCAAGCCTGCTAACGCTGTTAAAGAACAATCCCACCGCACCAGTGTTGATAAAGAACAATCCAAGCGTACCAGCGTTGATAAAACACATCCAGACAAGGAATTGAACCAAAATGGAGACGCAAGCAAGCGTAAGAAACACAAATAATGGCGAGCTTATTAAGTTTCTTAATTCTTCAAGTTAAGCACTAAGCTCTTTGGTAAGAAAATACTATCCAGCAAAATGAAAAGTGGTTCGCTGCTCATGGAAATCGCACGGAATCTAGCCTCTTTTTCTATTTGATTATCTACAAAATGAAGACAGTTTAAGGGCCGGAAGTAGTAAATTTAAATCGTCTTTTAAATTGTTTGGCTCATTGAGCTTGAGCTTTGGGCTTGAACTGAGTAATTGAAAACTAATTAGTAAAGTGCAACCATCGACACCGACAATAGATCATATAATTAAATTTGAGATCGATTCTATTCACATTATATTAAAATGCTTTGGCATACCTACCTTACCATATCTTGAGCAAATTTTTTAGAACCATATTTATATTAGTGAATAAATATCTTCAGAGCCCATCTAATTTTGTGTCTTTACTAAGGGTGTTTTAACTGTGTGGTCTCTTTCTATTTTAAAGACGACAGGTAAAAAAATCACGATTTTTCACGGGTAATGACATATTTTCCAGGAAGGAATTTTACAGTTAGGTTAGGGCACATTTTAAGGGAAAGTTATTACATATTTGATAAAAAAGTTACGACGCATTGCCAGAAAAGTTACAATGCATTTGTCAAGGTAGTCTATGTATGGTATTTGCCAGGAACAAGCATACAAAACAACTAAAACCAAACTACCCAGTATAAAAGAAAAAAAACTGATTTTTAGACTGTAACTCCTTTTGTATGGTACGGTTCAGGTAAAAGGCATACTTGTTCAAAACAATCCATTAGAGCTAGGAATCAGCACTCGGCTAGATCAAAGTTAATCAGAGACACAAAGGGCCGAAAAAGGAGTTCCATTGTGCGGAGTACTGTTGTCGCAAGCGTGAATGGGAGAATGCTCTACTTGGAAAATAAAGATGGCGATTATTTGCGCACTAGCGAGATACTATACGGCAACTGTGGGTATTCCCGAGAATGCACTAGAATGATGCAAATGACCTGTTTTTTAACCGACTTATGAGTTCAAATTTTTTTAGTGTGTATGTCACCCGATTACTTCAGCATTTGTGAACCGATTTTGATGATTCTTTTTTTGTTAGGAAGAGGGTACCTCAGTATTGGTCCCACTTAAATTTGAAGAAAATATTCCACCCCTGAGTGTGGCAAACTATGGGATGAATCCGGTTTCGCGCGCACGGATGTCATTCCATGAACTTTTGAGGTCGGTTTTTTTATAAAAATTATAATTGGCTCGTACGTTTGTACGTTACATAATTGATATAAAGTTCATTATGCTATGGTTATAAAAATTTCGCTTACATTCTGTTGCACGGCTATGTAAACTGAGCCTTAGTGGCAAAAGAGGAAGACTCCTTTCAACACTTTAACATTGTACTTCCCTGGACGAATTCTTTCACAAGAAGCTGGACTGCACCGGGACAAGGATATGAAGAATAAACGTGCAATTATTTTTATTTATATTTCTTGAAATTTTATTATTATTTTTCGTATTCACGTGTATGCAGTCTTTTTTGTGGTCTTACTAAAATTATTACTTATTTTTACTTTAATTTGATATTACGCTATAATATTTACAATCATAATTTACACTTACAGCTATACTTAATTCATACTCGCTCATGCACTTAGTACCTCTCTTTGTTTCTGATTGAAAACTACAGCTTAATGCTCTGGCCACACAGAGGAGGCCGCGGAAGCGTTCCGGGCGCGGGAATTTTTGTAATGTGCGAGTATAATGAACTCGCTACACTGGAAAGCTTCCGTGGCCATCTCTGTGTTTAGGTACATGAAGGTGACTCGGGTGGAAGAGAATAAAGAGATTTATCACGAACGTAATAAGTGGAGGTTTACAACGTCTTTCTACCCCAGGGGATGACATTATCTGAACATTATGTAAATCGAAATGTAATGCCTAGCATTCTGTATACAGTAATGTGTGTGCCGAAGGTTTCTAAAATAACATTGTTGATATAGACGAAAAAACTTTTTATTTAGGAGACCTGTGGCAAAGAGCTATTCGCGAGTTCCAGTTTGCACAATAAGTAGAGCCTCTTTCCAGTTCGTGATACAACAAGCGCGTAGAGATTACATCAGCGGCTTGAAAGACGCTTTGTAGCAAAGGTGTTAATGCACCACCGGCGCTGTACTATCTTACGGCGCCCGTGCCATACCTTTGACTTTCTTTTGTCGCGGGCTTGGAAAAGGTAAAAGCTTTCTTGGTAATGTGATTGCGAGGTAAGTATATCATATACTTGAGTTTTAGAAAGTTATTATTCGAAGCAAATATTAATGTTTCGAATTACAATTCTATAATTATCATTTATTTCTCCGTGTTCTTCCAAATGTCCGTAGTATGTGTAGTGATTCAGAACTTACAGGAGAGTGATTTAAAGTATTTTTTTTAGGAAAAAAAATAACTCATCAACAAATAACTCTCATTTATTATATGGATAACGAGAAACCTTTTTCACATAACTAATAAAATTAGGAAAGACGTTGAAAATCAAATGCAAAGGTCCGACAAAAAGCACATGAAAAATTCGTAAGGTCCGCTGGTTCGCTCCGTGTCTCAGTTGGCATAGCGTCTGCCACGGTATGCTAGAAGACGTCGGATCGAAGACATTATTTCTAAGTGTTTGATCTTTGTATTAATAATTATGACAAACTGTGGAGTAATTTCACAAAAAATAAAATTAGAATTATGATTTTTTTTATCTTAAAAAAATAATTTATCTCCTGTAACATTTTCTAAATATACGTTAGACGTTTCACCTTCACAGGGTCGCCACGATTTCACTTCAATTCACTTTGACACTGACACCCAGTGTATATTATAATAAAAATATCGCTTTCAAATTTACCGCTACTGTAGTCTATAATATGATCCTAGGGCATCTAGAAAAATAAGTTTTTCATACAAAACTTTTTTAATAAAAGAGTTAAGGTAAAGTCCCAGTGGTTGACGCTTTTAAACGGAAAATCACGTTTTTTGCAAAAAAAGTACTTGGTCAGTCATACTGACTACCTAGGTATGTTACCATATTAAACGATTTGTCATTTATCTTCTACGAGGTATAAAATTTAAAACAATCATGGGCATTATTAATATATTCCAGTTTTCCGCTGCCTCTCAAATTGTACCAGTGTACGACAGGCAAAATTTCTAATGTCCCAATACTTGACTATGGCAGTATTTGACAAGACGTTATGTTAAGATTTCATAGTTATTTAAACGCAGTAATCACTTGATAATAATAATTTTAAAAAATAAGAAAAACCATAATCAATCAAGATGCTTTAATTAAAATTAATAAATAATTACTTACCTTTGTAGTCAAGGTAAGTAAGTGCGTGCAAAAAACATACAAAATAGAAAGTAGAAATAGAAAATATACGGATGTAAAAGAAAGGTGTAGTTATATTAAAGGACTGAAAATAATGCGTACTTCATCTAGTCTCTGTGCAAAATTTCAAATAAAAATGTTGATATAAATTTATTGAAATTTTAAGTCAGTAAAATTTTACACAGTAAAATAGTCCGCGGTATCCCATATTTTGTCGCAGCTGCTGCGATAGGAATTCATCTTGATACTTCGTCTACCGCCATCAATACGTCATCATCAGAATAAGGCGACAGCCTTAGTGGCATTTTTTCATTGAACAATACCCCTAACCAATAGTTGACACTAGTTACGCCCTAGTGTTTGACACCTCAATATACAACTGTCAATTATTGGGTCCCCATAGTAAAATAGTCTTTGACACCCATATCAAACACTACTCAAACTACCCATTGAAATTTGTCGCTAACAGAGTAATCCAAACTTATGTTCTCCGTCCTTACTAAATGGCCGAAATTAAGTTTTTAAAAATATTCATATATACGAGTACTTGACATGGGTGTCAACTACTAGTAAACTTTAAAATTTTGCACCAGTGTTTGACATGCCGGTAAAATAAAATATAAACGATATATATATATAGATAACGATATATATGTACATCAATAAATACACACAAAATTAATTGTTTTTACAGTTATCTAATAGTTTTAATAAACACTTACCGGTAATTAATAATATTCCGCCTGATGAATTCACTTAAACTACTCAAAGTCTTAACGATTTCTATAACAAGAGCGACACACGTTACACTCCGATCACCTGCTCGCAAAGACTTTCGCCATATTAAAAAATAATTGAATGAATCGATGAAAGCTTTTAAATTAAATTCATAGAAAGATGTCGTTGCTAGTACATTTAACATGGTTTTGGAGTAATATCAATATTTGTTTTCTTATTTTTGAAAAAAAATGCAAAAGTGTCATACATCGGGACAGTGTCAACCACTGGGACATTTACCTTAATAAGTTTTTCGAATTTAAAAATTAGAACACATGAAATATTAACCGATATCTCTAAAAAACACTATACCAATTAAATTTTTTGGACGTGTTCTGTTTTTATTTTGTTTTTTGTTTCTTTGTTTTTTTAACGAAATTCGTTTTTCTTTTCTTTTTTTGAATTTAATTTTTTTTCTTTATTCTATTTTTCACAAAATTCGGGAAGGATAATATTAGCAAATAAATATGGCTGTTTACAAAATAACAGAAAGTGGCCAAAAAATAATGTAGGCGTAGAGTTCATGCCAGGTATATATATATATAGGCGAAAATCGTGACGCGTCGCGATGCTTCTACTTTGTGCCAGTGTGAGTTGAGCCTATGTTTCCGGAATGAATAAGAAAAAAATACTATAAATGGTCAGAAATGAATTTATTGTTTCTCAAAATATTCTCTGTTAGCGTTAATGCACTTTTTCATACGAATGAACCAATTTTGAAAACATTTATGCCACTGCTCCTTGACAATCTCTGAAACATATTTTTCATACTCTTCGACAGCCTCTTCAGGTCATGAAAATCGTTGACCGCGTAACTGGTTCTTAATTTTTGGAAATAAATAAAAGTCACAGGGAGCCAGTCGGGACTGTACGCGGAATAAATCATAAGGTCAACATTGTTCACTTTCAAAAATTCATTTGTCTCTCTGCCCGTGTGAGAACTGGCATTATCGTGGTGCAAGATGATACGGCGTTTACGGTTATTTTTACGGAGTTTGTCAATAACTTCCGACAAACAAGTGGTCGTTTACCAATCACTATTCACGGTACAACCAGTCCAGTTTTATTAAAAAAAGAAGCAATCATCCGCTTAGAGGCACTTTACACGCGGGCCACTTTGGTTGGTTTCGGCTCATCTCGAAAGACCCATACGCTCAATTGCTGCTTTGTTTTGGGACCGTAACTATAAATCCATGTTTCGTCACCTGTTACTATATCCCACACCAAATTTGACACCCCTTCGTTGAATCTGGTAAGCATGGCATTGCACCA